CCACGTTGTCAAGCGATTTCCGCTGTTCCGGAAATTCGTACTGCAAAGGAACAGCCTGTGATCGGCACACATCTGAAGTAACCGGTCTCCGTTGTCCGTGCGTCTAGTGTCCAAACCAAGACGACCACCCAATCGGGTCTCAGCAGCGCTTAGTCTACCTACCTGGGCGTTCATATCACCAGCAACCACAACGATATCTGAGCTTTTAGCCTGCTGTAGAAGGGCACCTAGAGCATCAGAGCTACAGTTAGTTGGGGCGTAAGCAGAAACAATAAACAAGGTGCGATGAACTTCACTTCCTCTAGATTCTCTCACCGATGTTGCCAAACGAACCGCACAGAGGCGACTGTCAACGGGTATCCAATCAATCAGAGACGCTTCCGCCCGTTCGCTCAATACAATACCCACCCCAGCATATCCAGCTGCAGCGGCCTCTACATCACCAGAGGTGCGCAGTCGGAACCTGGAAGAGAGCGAGGGGGCAGTCAGTTCGATTACGGTACTTGCGTCCTGCGTCCTTGTTTCTGACAGACAACATACATCAATACAGAGGGAATCCAGCTTACGCGCAAGAGCCACCTGTTGACCTGCTTGCTTCAGTGTGCGGACATGGAAACATCTGACCTTTTGTCTTGTAGTGATAAAGCATTCGAGCTATTTTAAGCATCAGAGATTTGTTGCAGAGTGCACGATGCCAATGAAGACATTGAAACATCTGACCTTTTGTCTTGTAGTGATAAAGCATTCGAGCTATTTTAAGCATCAGAGATTTGTTGCAGAGTGCACGAATGCCAATGAACGCACTGGCAATTGTCCAGGTATCCCTTCTGAGAAGCTTCCTGTCAGAGGCGAGTGCTTATGAACATTCAGTTGGTCAGGTCACCTTGCACCCCATGACTTAACTTAATGTCGACCTCAGACTGATCATCCGCAGCACTCACTAGATTACCAGCCGCGCGGCAGCGAGAATAAACGTACAGGAGTTAATTCGAGCCACACGATGAATGTTCAACAAACAAGTCCATTATGGAATGTTTGGTGGGAAGTGCGATTTAACTTGCTATCGGGAATTCCCTCTATGAAGATGGAAGCTCCTAACGCAACTGAGTTCCCTGGTCGTTTCCTTCCTTTTTGTTACCTGATTTCCCTTAGTATGCTCCAAGCAGCGCATTCTTGGACGAAAATGATACATCGGAGTAGGTTCGCCGGTATCCTAAGTAAATTAGTAAGCCATCGCAGCGCACTCTTTTCTGTCTACCACTCGACGTATCCTAGCAGTGTTGATGCATTTCCTCCCAGAAGTGATGATTAGACATCCAAGGAATTTCAGTCTTCTGTTCACAGTGGCCATATTCATGACCCGTACACCACAGAGCTGTACAATTAACGTTGACAGGAAGCTGGTGTCGCATGAAAGCCGATGTCCCAAGGAAAAAATTGAGCAACCGGTTCAAAAATATAAACTACGGCTATAGAAGCGTTGTGGAGTAGTCAAAATCACAGAGCGCACATCAGTGTTCAACACCGATGCTTCGCTGCAACTTCAATTTCTTTGAATTATTTACTGTTAAAAGAATACAAGTTTATCGGGAAGGGACTTAGTGCCAGCCTAACACCATCATTCCGAGATGTTCCTAGACGCTCATTCAGACAATGGGTTGAATATAACAAAAATACCGTTGACACCGACTAGCAGCAATATATTGTAGGGTTCCCAGACAAACACAGGGAGGATCACAGTCTGGAAGGCTATTCAAAGCTAGTCGAACTCTTATAATCGATTTCATAGACTTGCCAGGTCAAAGCTTGACCAACTATCTGCTTGCGTCAGTGAGTTGGGCCCAAGAGATGATTCTGCATGTGTGATACATGACCGTACGACCTCAGACTCTCTGACCGAAGCCAGTGCTGTGCACCCACTCATTTTCTAATTTTCTCGTGGTGGACCAATTGGCACCGAGGGCCTGAAGAAGTCTCAGTTCCGCTGCCTGCAGAGGCCACGTGCAGCCCGTACTCCAGTCTGATTTGCCTGTCACCTGAGATTCAGAGACACACCGCTTTGCGTATCTTAAACTGCGAACGTTAACCCAGCCTTGGAGATTCGTGCAATGACTTCATCACACTGCAGGTGGGGCTGGAAGAATTTCCGAGAAAAACGGCCCATCCTCAGACTGTAAGTGACGTGAAACTGCACGTCCAGGAACGCGACCTTAGACTTTGTGAAGCCCATGTCGTAAGACACGTATAACTCCACGTCCTGATTCAAAAAACGATGCTGTCTGAAAACTTGAGATCGACAAGTTTTTCGCCAGTGACTAGTTTGATACCAGGTTATTAAAGACCTATAGTTCATCTCATAGTCTCACAGAACACCAAATTAAATGTACTCAAGAGAGTGGGCATCTTTGTCGGGCACAATATTTTGCACAAAGCTTATTGAGAGATCTCTGCATACCGTCGCACGAATACGCCTGGATAGTAAGAACTTGTCATACCGACAGGCGCCCGGTGAACAAAAGTTAAATCGAATAGACCGGTCAACAGAGTCAGACGCACCTTGAAAATCCAGAGATACCAAACCACTGAGTCGCCAATATTTGTGTGGTTGTTCTAGCACCTGACAATATCAACGCAACCCCTACTGGCCAAAACCCCGCTGTTCTCCAGCCAACGCTTTGCGTTGCGCCAACTGCGCTGAACAAATGTCGACGCCATCATCCGCTATTAGAAAGGAAACAAGCAGAACCACAGAGATAATTGAAATTCCGTCAACGACTGCTATGGTTCTGTTGTAGTACCTATGCACACTTGAGTATTCGCTACAGTGGCCCAGCCATCTTATCAAGCGGGCTTCTGATAGTTGTATCCTATTCCCACGAAATGATCGAAGGCTATAAGCCAGTCAAAAGTATTACTTACGTAAAAATGTATTCGGTTATATACAAATGCAATGGATATCGAACTATTTTTCCGTTTTCGACTTCTTTGGAGCTCTGTGTAAAGAGTTTCAATGAAAGAAAATGTCCGTGTGCAACTGTACCTGTACTGTGCTGTGACCATGGCATGTCCCCTCTCAAATGGTTCTAGTGTGACTTGTTCTCGGGGGGTAAACTGCAGTTTCCGTAATGTATCAACTTCTTTGGCGAACACGACTTCAGGAGCAGCGACAGAATCTATACATGACGCCTTGATAGAAATAACTGCATGACCAGCATTTTTCAAGTAATACTCAGCATTAACTCCTACAATACGAGATTGATCCGGTTGAGCGACATCTGCGAAAATGCAGTCCACCATTCCTGAAGGTTCGTCAGCTTTCAAAGAGAACTTACCGACAAGCATCCTATACTTGTGTGGGTGCCGGGCATCCTCAATGATAGGTACTATGTTAGTTCTGTGTTTCGCTACGTTCAGTAAGTCGCGTCCAGAACGGTGCGAAAACTCTACAGCATACACCACTCCATCGGGTCCTACAATATCAGATACATGAGAAACAGTAGTCCCGCTGGCAGCCCCCAGATACAGCACACGGGATCCGGGCTTCATGTGAATCTGGTCCAACCCATTAACAATACCAGCAGCAAGTTTTGAACGGAACGGATTCCAAACGCGATACTCAACTTTTTCACCACCGTCGTTTTCCACGCTAATCCGCTTTTCACCATATACAGATTCCCCCACGACTGCGTTGAGTGTGACAAGGCAATCTTCCTTCCCTTTAGCCAGAAATATCCCCTCATGTCTGTGTGGTTCGATAATAACCCGCCGACCACCGCGAAAACCACCACGGCCTCTACCACCAGGTGTACCACGGCCACCTCTATTTGCGAAGTCCCCACGGCCACCACGCCCACCGAAACCTCCTCTACCGCCGCGAAATCCACCTCGATCGCTGAATCGTCCTCGATTCTCACCACCAAAACCACCACGACCTCCGTCTCCGCCTGAGCTTTGTCTTCCCTCGCCACCGAAGCTATGCCGGAATCCACCACGGCCACCACGACCTCGATCGCCACCGCGACCTCCTCTGGAGTCTCCGCGGCCTTCTTGAAGAAAAATTTTTCTCTAAACTCTAAAATTCAAGCCTACCTGGTTTCGTCATCTAAAGACGAGCAGCAGAACGAAAAAGGCGTGCAGAATTTAGAAATCCGCGCGCCCAAAATTCAGTCCAATTCTGATGGACTCATGGTTGATACACAGGATCGAGAATTTCGCCCAAGCGTCCCTGGTCTGGTTTGTCCTTATCGTTCAACGGCTTCCGTTCACCTGAAAGGTACAAGAGAGGAGCGTAAAAATTTTTCTCTAAACTCTAAAATTCAAGCCTACCTGGTTTCGTCATCTAAAGACGAGCAGCAGAACGAAAAAGGCGTGCAGAATTTAGAAATCCGCGCGCCCAAAATTCAGTCCAATTCTGATGGACTCATGGTTGATACACAGGATCGAGAATTTCGCCCAAGCGTCCCTGGTCTGGTTTGTCCTTATCGTTCAACGGCTTCCGTTCACCTGAAAGGTACAAGCGAAAGAGGAGCGTAGCACCGCTCTTTATGCCCTCAGCGCTCTGTAGTAAGCTTTGCAACGCAAGGACCCGTAAAAAACATCCGAAACCACTTCGAACTGGATTTAAGACGAGGCCTGAAGAGCTGTGGGAGAAGGGCTATTCCGAACCAAAATGGACGAAATTATTTTCTAACAAAAGCGTGCTGGATGAACTTGGAATTCTTATTACCATGTCCTCGCAATGTATTACTTGTATCAACGGTGAGAACCTGTTGGCCGAACCTTGTTCAAGCGAGGCCTGAGCTTTAGCTGCTCCCGGGGGCGACAATAGTCTAAAGGCATGAGCTCAAGGCCTCCGAGATGTGCTTCGTCATCAACTGACTGGAGAGCAGCTCTTTGGACACACTGAATGAGGGTTGAGTTCTGGCGTATTCTGGATGCCGTCTGGAGTGGGAACTAATGAGTAACCAAAATTTGGACAACCGCTTCCTCCCTATCCAAAGAAAGGTTTCTTCCGTAGAGCGATTGACGAAATATCAGATGGCGATATGTGATGAACATGACTGATGCTCTATTCATTGCTCTATTCATTATTCTCTTGTTTTAATATTCCATATGCTGTACATATTCGCCAATTCGAATATATACGTGCTGGTTGCCACTCTTCGCTGAATTCTGGATTTCTAGTTCGTCGGGTTGTACCGATATACGTACGAAACTTAATTACCACA